TCCACTCGAGCATAAAGATGGCACCTTATCAAGCTTTGTACGGACATAAGTGTCGTACACCGTCTTGTTGGCTTGAGGCTGGGGAGAAGCAGTTTATGGGACCTGAGATGGTTCATCAAACTGCTGAAAAGTTGAAAATAATTAGGGAAAGAATGTTAGCAGCTTAGGATCGTCAAAAGAGTTATGCTGATAATAAGCGAAGACCGGTGACTTTTAAAGTTGGAGATTCGGTTTTGCTTAAAGTCTCGCCGTGGAAGGGACTTATAAGATTTGGTAAAAGGGGAAAATTAAGTCCAAGGTTTATTGGACCATTTAAAGTTCTTCAGAGGATTAGGAACCAAGGTTACAAGCTCGAATTACCCGAAGAACCGAATGAAATTCATAACACTTTTCATGTGTGTTATTTGAGGAAGTTCACGGGAGAAGTTCCCGACATGATTCCACTTTTGGAATTGAGAATCGATGAGAACAAAAGGTTGATTGAAGAACCAGAGGCAATCGCTGACCGAAAGACTAAGAATTTGCGATGCAAGATGGTCGAATTAGTGCTTGTCCGATGGAAACACATGAATGGGCCGAATCTCACCTGGGAAACGGAGAGTGACATGATAAGTTGCTACCCGCATTTGTTTTTTGATGTGTGATTCTGGGGACGGAATCATTCTAAGGTGGAGAGAATTGTAACACCTGTGTTTCTGGGCTTATCATTAATGTTGATATAATAGTCTAGGTTAACCTTTGTAACCCGTTTTGAAATAATAGAAGTGTATTATTTGAGTATTATGTGTTTCGTGCTTAACTGTGTGACTTAATTGAATTAAGAATAAAAATAAGCATCAAAATGAAATTTTAGATAAGCTCGATATCTACGGATAATGTTGTAGTAGTTGAAATGAGGTTTTCGAATATATAAAGAATGCCGAAATCCGAGTTATAACGAAGAAGTTATGACCCGTCGAAGTTTCGCGACAGAACCGGCAACGCTGAATGACGTAAAAAGTGAAATTTACGTTAGAGCGATATCTAGCTTTATTTATCTAAATGAAAGTCTTAGGGTTCGTTAAACCGAGATCGTGCATAAAAAGAATGCCCAAATCTGACTTCGTATGAGGAAATTATGATTTTCCGAAGTTTCAGCTTAGCAGTATGCAGCCCGAATACTCGATTCGAGATCGAGTGATTGTTGGTTGAAAAAATCTAAATGAGAATCTAAGATCTCATCGATAGTAGTGAAACGAAAAAAAGACAGACGAAAACGGAGTTCATATGAAGGAGTTATGAATTTCGAACGGAGTTTACCTGTCCCGGCCTACTAAAAATAATATATTAAAATTAAAGTCAAAATTAGCCAATAGAGTCTAAAAGAGAGTTGCAGAGCATAATCTCACCTACGTGTGGATATAAAGAATGTCAAAAATGGAGCTCGTATGCGAAAGATATAAATTTCTGAAGTTCGGGGCACGAAAACCGAGCCTGTGTCAGGACTCACGACGTGAGCAGACCGATTTGACCTTTCAAAGCTGCAGACACAAGTGGACGAATGACGAACGCGGTGACCTATCGGGCTCACGACGTGAGCTTTAGAAAATCACGATGTGAGGAATGAAAATCAGCCTTATAAATAGAATTCAAGGGGCAGCCGATTTTGGTTGCTCCATCTCTTCTCTCCCACTCCCGATACTCTCTCTAAGCCCTATTTTAACCCCCGAAGCCCCGGTGATCATCCCGAGACCTGAAGCGAGTCCCGAAGCCTGAAGATCTCGAGAATAAAAGAGTTTCCAAGCCGAAGCTCTGCCCGCGAGAAGCCCGGTGTGCGAAGTGATCCCAATTTCACCGAAGAATACTACTCTTAGAGCCGTAGTGCTGTCCGATCATCTTCTGATTAAATGAGTGTGTAGTTATTTTATCTAATGCATAATTATGAAGTGTTTTATATAAAATACGTGTTATGTGTATATTTTGTTGTTATATGTGTGAATGTATATTCCCTTCCTTCTATCTCATAGATCTGATTTATTCTCTATGAAATACGTATTATGTGTGTGTGCCTCATCTGTTATGTGGAATATGTATTGATTGACCATGTTATACTAGGTTTTAAACCATGTATAAAAATATATATTTTTATCTACTAATATGTTGGGTAGAACATGGGTAGATAGTTGATGTGTGATAAACATATGAGAGTCCTCGATGTTATTGATGTAGACCTAGTCATCTAGTGGAGTATGGATGACGACCACAGACTCTTTCTAGACAGTCCAGTGGAACGCTAGCAAGTTCATAACCTGTAGCTGTTGTGAAGGATGTGTTCACCGGTGTACTCTATCCCCCTCATGGTTGCCTTTAGGATATCTATTGTTGAGGAAACCCCTTAGCAGTAATGTTTGTCCCGATGAAAATCCTAGATTAGGTCCCTTGAGATAGATGTTGTTTTGGGGACATAAAGTGAGGATAACGGGAATGGGTAATCGGGTTATTATTGGTTGGTGAAATTAAATATAATTATTTATTGTGGGTTGGAAACCCTATATGCTCACCAGGCTCCCAAGCCTGACCCACTCAATTTATTTGTATTACAGGTAGTGGAGCGGGGACATAAGATGGATGAATCATGAAGTTGTTTTTTTTACAAGTCTGTATATGTATATATTTGTTGAATGACTTGTAATGTTATCGTTTATGCTTTATGGTCTGTATCGGAACATGACATCCCGAGTTTTGATTATATAATGAAAATGCATCTCTTGATGAAATGCTTTGATAAATATTATTTTATCATATTTTGATTTTGGGAACAAATTCCGCAACTTTTTTAAATCGAAAGGATTTACTCTGAAATTATTTTAAAAAAGCATAAATGAAATCGGTCTTTTCTAGCCTAGATTTTGAGGATGTCACACACAATGAACAACATTAACCAAGTAACTTTGATGTCAAGCTAATCTACCCATTACAAAACTGATTTCGGTTTTAATTATGCCAAACAACAAATAACGACTCCGAAACTTCCCGTTGACCATGAATCCAGACCTTCATTCTCAAGCCAACATTAGTCCAAATATGTTCGACACCATGATCCAATTTCAAACCAAAATTGATACTACATGTCGAAATCAACTTTTCTCAACACCATGTCTCCTTATTTCACAAGAGGTTCGATTTCCAAATCACATTCAACAATGCGAACATGAACCCATTCATAGTGTTCGACCCTAAGAACCCAAACTCATTCAATTTCGAAATTAAACTCCAATTAAACACTATTTCGATATCATACAACCCAAGTTCGACTTGTATCAACCAATTTCAACCTTCAATAATTCATAGAATCAATACTTGAGACTCTGATTTTGACTTTTTTTGAGTTTGGCTTTTCGAATTCAATGTTCAAAAAACACAAAATTGATGATTCTAACATTAGACTTCATATCAAAAAGTGATTATTCAACTGTTATTCATCATATTCAAATATTCTTAACGATATTCATCAAAACCAAAAAACCGATTGACAATTTCTCAACTTCAACTTGATCATAATCGATTTGTAATAGAACAAATCAAAGCTAATCGATTCACAAGTTTAGATTCATGAATAACTCTAATTAATTAACAAGAACGTTGAATCGAAAACGAAACTCAAGAACACGTTGATCAAAATGCAAGACAAGAACATCAGAAAAGTATTCGTATAGCGATGACGAACCAGAGTAGATACCGAGTCAAAATTGATTTAATGATTTTTGGGCTCAACCTTATAGATATCGGATCGAACGAAAGACTTATGGGCTCACATCATGTTGATATCAGATCATTTGATTTAAGGTGCTAACATATCTCTCTCTCTCTCACTCACTCACTCTCTCTCTTTATATATATATATATATATATATATATATATATATCATGTCACAAGGTATCAATCACATATGCAAGTGGGTCTTCTCAAGCCATGCCTTCACTAGTCATCTAATGGAGAACTTTGTAACCAACAAATACATAGCAAACTAACATAATCCCTACATGTAAAAACACATCCGAACTTAACATTACAGCTTGTAAATAATTACACACAATAACAAAACCCAACTACTAACTAAGCATATCTTCATGTTCCTATTTTGCCTTTCAAGATCTTTCATCGACCTAACCAATCGATAACTGTTATAACCCTTTTCATCATCAAACCAAAAAACAAACCCACAATATGGTCCATGTGAAATTAAGAAACAATTGTTTAAGGTTAACGAGAAGAAGGAAAAATAATAAAATAACATACCATTTTTGGACACATAAAGTTTTCTTTCCGGATTATTGTTGGTCCTCGAGGTCCTTATAATTTCTAAACTTACACAATCACATATTGACATGTGTTGGATTTAATTGAAGAGCTTCCACAACATACAATATTAGAATGTTATTTGCTTGATTTTATGTAGTTTATATAGAGAATTGGACATAGTGTTAGGTTCACAGTACATATGTCAAATTCACAATATGTACGTAAGGTTTGCAATACGTATGTCAGGTTCCATTTTAATTTTTTTTAACCATAGACAATATTAAATTTTCAAAATAAAAATCAGATTTATTGAAATTTATACTGTTAAGTCTAATCCGGCCTGGGAACCGAAGTCGGCCGAAATTAAGAACCCAATCGGACCACCTGTTCTGCCAGTTCCGGTTCTACCGGTTCCCAGCTCCTACTGGTTCTTGCCGTGTCTTTAATGTTGGAATTGATCATCGAGAAGTAATAACATACGGTTTCAGTTTTTGCTGGTTCTACCGTTTTCCAGTTCCAAAAATCCACAAAAATATCGTCCCGGTCTAGGTTTTAAATAGCGTAAAGCGCCTCAAAGCGCTTTGGGCTTTGGGAGTAAAAGCGCTAAGCGCTAAGCGAAAGCGCCCGCTTAGAGCACACGAAGCGCCCGTTATTAAAAAAAATTAAAATATAGAAATTATATATAAATACTTAAAAAAACATATCTTATATATTGCATAAGGCATCAATTTCAAAAGTTAAAAGTAGCATAGGCATGATGATAAAAAAAAGCAGAACTTAAGTCCTAAATTCCTAATCCTTAATCATAAAAACAAAAAATACGCGAAATGGTCATCATCATTGTCAATTTGAACACTATCATCTCCTCCACAATCACTTCCGATATCCTCTTCCACCTCTTCATCCACCAAACAAAATCCAGATCGTTGACTAGATTCTGGAGCTTTTCCCTTATCACTACCCGATGGCTCCGCTCCATCATTTTGCACTCTCGATCTAGTTAGATAACTAGGCTCATAAGCACCTGATGCGTTAGCCACATCTCTCCAAGTAAGATCTTTACCAACAAATACTATATCATCATCATTCTCCTCTTTAAGTCTTCCCATCAACCACTCATTACTTTCATCAATCTCTTGTAAAAGAATAGGATCCTTCTCCTTATCTTTAACTCGACGATCTAAGGCACGATTGAATTTGACAAACACCATGTCATTTAATCTTGATTGTGCCAATCTATTTCGTTTCTTCGTATGAAGCTACAAGAATGAAAGTAATTAAAGTAAGAAAAATCATGAAATAACTAAAATAAGAAAAAAAAACATATTCTCATTTAGGAAAACAATTTTTTTTAAATGGATACAATAAAACTTACGTGTTGAAAAACAATCCAGTTTCTCTCACAACTTGTAGCACTACAAGTTAGACTAAGGACCCGTATGGCAAACTTTTTAAGATTAGGCGCCGAAGATCCATATGATGCCCACCAGTCAGCTAATAATCAAAAGTTAAAAACAAAGTAAGAAAATAAGAATAGAAATTACCAAAAAAAAGTTGGTTAAGAACTTATAATATCATTTTGTTACCTGGTGCTTTTGTTTTCCTATGCGTAATAGCCATAGGATGACCGAATAGTCCTTCTGCATTCCGGTATTTATCTAACTCTGCAGAAATCTTGTCTTGAACTTGCTGGTCTGGAACAAGTCTCATAATGCAACCATATAACCCTTGTTCCACTTATTCACAAGCCACCCCAATAGTATCCTTATAAAATATCCCCGAGTTCAAAAAATGTCCTGCTGCATGTAGAGGTTTATGCAGTTGACATTCCCACCTTTGATAAATGATTTGAAAAGCTGTCTTGTAGTCATCCGCATTGGAAAAACTATCACGAATAGCTTCTTTAGCCCTATCCATAGCCTCATAAATATAGCCCATTGTTGGATACTTTTCTCCATCAACTAACCTAAGAACTTTGACTAAAGGGTTGGTTAACTTGAGAGCTTACAAAACATTCCTCCAAAATGAATCTTGCATAAAGTAGGTTTTTACTTTTTTTGCAATTTGATCTTTGTTGGACCACTTTGCCTTTTCCCACTCTGCAGAAATCACCATATTCTTCAGGTTGTGTCTTTGTTTGTGGACTTGGGCAAGTGTGATAAAAGATGTGGCGAATCTAGTTACAACTGGCCTATGCAAGTTTCTTTCTTTTGTGAACTTTCTCATCAAGTTCACAACAGGAACATGACTATATATATATATATATATATATATATATATATATATATATATATATATATATATATATATATAGCCAATTGCTAACATAGCCTTCTTTATTGCAATTTTCACCTTAGGAACCTTTTTTCCAATGTCCTCCAACATCAAATCCAAGCAATGAGCAGCACATGGTGTCCAATAAAGATGCTCTCTTTTGGCTTCCAACAACTTCCCTACAAAGTTTATAGACAGAAAATTAGAATTTAGAAATTATAAGACATTAACAAAAACAACTTAATATTAACATGCATATACAAGTTACAACTCTTACCTGCCTTTACATATACTAAAGTGTTATCAGTTACAACTTGTACTACGTTTTTTTCTCCAACTTCCTCCACCATCTTATCCAGAACATGAAATAACAAATTTGCATCCTTTGATACATCCGAAACTGTTTCGATTGATTTCACAAACACCGAACCCTTTGGAGAGTTTACCATGAAGTTTGTGATATCCTTTTGCACCACTGAATCACGCCATCCATCAGATAATATTGAACAACCTTTTTCTGCCCATTCTTGTTCATGCTCAAGAATCTGGATTTTCACATCCTGTACTTCATTCCTAAGCAGAGGGACTCGTAACTCATACATGCTCGGTGGTTTCATCCCAAGGCTAAACTGTCCAATAACTTCAACCATGAGTTTGAAGCTATTATATGTCGTGGCATTGTAAGGAATGGCTGAAGCAATAAAGTATATACCAATTAATGAATATAAATTGTTATTAAATAAAGTCAACAAGGCATCAAAAATAAATTATACCTGCATCGTAAAACCATCTCGCAATCTCACGGCAAACTTTATCCCTAAGATCCTTTTGACATACTTCATTGATTGTTTGTTGTCTCCCTCCTTTCCTACTTTTGACGACTTCATGCGGATTAGGGGTGTAGTATGTGTCCATAGGGCCTTTTTGCTTTGGTTTTTTTGGAGGGGGCATTTTCCTACTACTGCCTATTTCAACATCTTCCTCACCAACATCATCATATTCATCAGGTTCATACATCTGGAATCGTGCTTGTTCCATTTGTTGTTGAGCTTTTAAATTCTGTTTCTTTTCCAAATATGCTTTTATTTCTTCTTGTACATGTCCCGGACAATTCGGACACTTCTTTACGTCCTTATAACCACCAACCATATGATGTTTGAAGCGAAATACACCTCCCTTCACCACTTGTCCACAGAAATTGCATGTAAAGTTGTTTTTATTAGTTGGATCTTGTACCCCGTATTTCTTAACCGGGTCATCTGATCCACTATTTGTAGAACCCATCCTGTAAAATAACATTATATATCATTATGTATTAGTGTTATTTGTTTCTACTTTATATAGTCTACACTCTACACATGCTAACATGCAAGCAAGTAAGTAACAATGTAACATAACAGTTAAGTTCAAAGGAACAATTAATGATTTAACTGTTCAGATCAAGACATCATGTGATAACATTTAATGATTTAACAACTATGAACTAACTACGTGACTAACTAGTAAAAATAAGATCATCCAATAAGTAATATTAACAACAGAATAACAGATGTGATAACATAACAGAATAACAGATGTCAGTTATGACTTATGAGTAACTGATTAATAAGTAATAACAGAAGAAGAAAGAAGAAGTAAGTAGATGAAACTTGAAAGATCATTAAAATCATTGTATTCACAAATCACTATTCAGAATTAGAGTAGAAAAATTATTAGCAACATAAAAAATCGAATATGTACCTTGTTTTGATCTTGAATGTTGCTTCACTTGATTCCAAGTTCCAACCGTTGTGTTCAGAATTCAGAGGAGAGAGGAGGACAGGAGGCTGAAGATGAATATGGAGAAGAAGAAACGTTTTCCCGCCTACTGATGTTGTCTTTGTGTTGTGACGGATGAATTCTTATTTTAATAACCCTACTTCCTACGTATCTAATTAAAAATACACTAAACCTGGCCCAGCTAATTAAATAAGCCCGTATACCAAAAGTGCTAATAAGCGCCGCTTTACCAAATCGAACAAAGCACCAAAAGCGCCGACTAAAGCGGTGAGTAAAGCAATCTGAAAGCACCAAAAGTGCTAATAAGCGCATTACTAATTCAAAAGCGTTTTTGATTTTCATATGAGCGCCTAACGCTTTAAGCGGTCCAAAGCGCCGCTTTTTTAAAACCAAGGTCCCGGTTCCGGCTCGACCTGAACGTTTTCATCGGGTTCCGGTTCTGATACAGTTTCGTCCGGTTTCCCGGATCCAAATAAGAAATCATAAGCTCATACAAGTAAGTTCGGTTATATGGGTTCAACCCACGTACTTATTTGGATATATCCAGAGTATCCCCGGGTCTACCCTTCCATAACCCCTAAAACCCCATCGCCCTGAAAACAGATTCGGACACAGAGCATCGCCACCGCGAAACCAAAATGGTCGGACCTCTGGTTCGTGCTCTCTGGTCCACCACCAGAAAATCCATCTCCTCCTCCGCGTACCACTCCCCGTCTTCATATCTCAAACCATTCATACATGTACGCGCCGCAGGCATCTCACGCTCCTTCTCCGTCGCCACAGCAGCAGCTGCTGCCACCGCGACTGCTCCTGGCGGCGCGCTGGATCCTAATCGGCTCCGCAACGTAGCGGTGATTGCTCATGTCGATCATGGCAAGACCACTCTTATGGATCGTCTACTTCGCCAGTGCGGCTCCGACATCCCACATGAACGCGCACTTGACTCCAATCAGCTTGAGAAGGAGCGTGGAATCACCATCGCTTCCAAGGTACATACACTTTTCATTAACTGATATTCTAAAGGTAGCTAAACTTATGCTTTTCAGAATTCTTTAATTTACAAGAATAATAAGCGAACTTTGTATATTGTTATGACTGAGCAAGATAGATAGAATACCTTTTAGAAATGATTAATTTCCTTTTAGAAATGATGATTCTCTTTATCCAAATTCCATCTCTTCATTTGCTCAATTATGAATCAACTAATCCATAAGCTGAATCTTGTTAGTTTAGATCCAAGAAGCAATCCAATAGTATGGCTCAGTGAACATAAGAACATGAAATATAAATAGAAGCTTCTGCTTCATATTGCTACCAGTTACACTCTGTTAACAATATGTAATAACCTGTCTCACACGGAGATAGAGAATGACAACTGTGAGCCACTTACAAGCCTTAAGGTGTCGCCTATGACTACCAATAACTTCAACCATGGTTTTAAGTTGATCATGAGGTTGTTGTGACTTGGGTCTCCATAACTCCAGGATAGGGGTGTTACATAGTATAGTGAGTTTGTACCTTTTCTTTATACTCGATACATCTTACATTTCTAAGATGATTTTGTTGTTAAGTATACTAATACATTTCTAGATATATGAGTTTCAACTTGTTGTTATCTTTTATATTCTTTTAATCTTTTATAGATTACATGCATTCCATGGAAGGAAAATGAGCTAAACATGGTTGATACACCTGGACATGCAGATTTTGGTGGTGAGGTATGTATTAGCCAAGAAAAATAAGATGCTGCTCCTTTTTCACTTAATGGACTAAATAGGGACACATGACTTAATCCCTTAAGCCACTTTTTCTTTTTCTTTTTTTCTTTTTCTTTTTTTCTTTTCTATCTTTCTGAAAGGTGGAGCGAGTTGTTGGCATGGTTGAAGGAGCCATATTAGTTGTGGATGCTGGTGAAGGGCCACTTGCACAAACAAAATTTGTTCTAGCTAAAGCATTAAGATATGGTTTAAGACCAATTCTACTTTTAAACAAAGTAGATAGACCTTCAGGTATAACCTTTCTACATATTCATATATATAAAAGATTCACTTTTTACTAATTTTTTTTATCAATCTTCCATGCAGTTAGTGAGGAGAGGTGTGATGAAGTTGAGAGCTTGGTATTCGATCTCTTTGCAAACCTTGGTGCAACAGGTGATTATCAATCTATCATGCTCATTGCTCATCATGTTCTTGATTTCCCTTTTCTTTTTTTCTGAAAAGAATGTATGAAATTTATGTTTCAGAGGAGCAACTTGACTTCCCAGTTTTATATGCTTCTGCTAAAGAAGGTTGGGCTTCATTAACATACACCAAGAATCCTCCAGATGATGCCAAGAATATGTCTTCATTGCTTGATGCAATTGTCAAATATGTCCCTCCACCAACTGCAAGTCTTGATGAACCTTTCCAGATGCTGGTTTGTTAACTCTCATTGCATTATATATATTCATTTTTTTCTGTATTATTCATATTATTGATATAACTCTTTTCTACATTTGAAAAATATAAACAACATCACAGTATTGTAATAGGATGAAATGAAAGTAGGATGTTGTAATAAACAAATGAATGAGCAGATTTTAGATAGGAGGGTAAATTGGTCTTTTTTCAGGTTTCTATGATGGAAAAAGATGATTATGTGGGACGTATCTTGACTGGGCGTATTACATCTGGTGTTATCCGTATCAATGACAGAGTTCATGGGCTACGTGACACAGACTCTGGTGTCATAAAAATTGAAGAAGGAAAAGTATGTGATCATATGTAATATACTAATTGTATTTATTATAAGAAAAAAGATTATTATTATTTTTTAATCGTTAAATACATGTACACATTTATTAGGTTGTGAAGCTAAGAAAAAACAAAGGAATGATTTCATTTGATGTTGAATCTGCTGGAGCTGGTGATATTATATCAATGGCAGGATTAAAGAGTCCATCAATTGGACATACAATAGCAAATGTTGAGGTATTACTAATTTACTATTAATTAATTATGTTAAAAAAATCTTGTATTATTGATTTTTATAACGAAATTTATTGTTTAAAATTAGGTAATGACTGCATTGCCCACTGTTGAATTGGATCCTCCCACCATTTCCATGACTTTTGGTGTCAATGATTCTCCTTTAGCTGGACTTGATGGCTCTCAAGTATGACAAAAATAACCCTTCTTCTTCTTCTTCTTCTTCTTCTTCTTCTTCTTGTAGTTTGTGTACACGTCATCATGTTTAATGTGTGTAGTTAACTGGAGGAAAGATTGGTGATAGATTATTGGCTGAAGCAGAAACAAACTTAGCAATAAATGTAATCCCTGGTTTAGCAGAATCATATGAAGTTCAAGGAAGAGGAGAACTTCAATTAGGTCATATCATATTATCATATACTCTTTAATTCATCATCATATTCTTTAAAAAATCAACAAAGAATTATTATGTATGCTTAACTTCATTCACTTTGTGTATATAACAGGCATCTTGCTTGAGAATATGAGGCGTGAAAATTTTGAGCTTTCTGTATCTCCTCCAAGAGTTATGTAAGCTTTCTCTATCTTCTACTTGTAATATGAACTTTTAGGGTTCATAATGATTGTTATTTGTGTAATATGTTAGGTACAAGATTGAGAAAGGTGTGAAGCTAGAGCCAATTGAGGAAGTAACTATTGAGGTAAAAAATAAAATAAAATAAAAAATTGATTTACTATTTGTATTTGTATTTCTTTTACTTAATGATATGGATTTTTTTAAGGTGAATGAAGAGCATGTGGGAATGGTGATGGAAGCGCTTTCTCACAGGCGAGCTGAGGTTACTGACATGGGCCCTGTGGCTGGAAACTTTGGCAGGACTAGAATGACATTAACTTGTCCTTCAAGGTCAGTTTCGTCATTTTATTAACTTTTTTTTTTTTCTTTCAAAAAGTGATAAAAAGAAGCTGCTTACGTTTTTTTTGTAAGACTTCAGGGGACTGGTTGGTTACAGAAGCGTGTTCAGCAGTGACACACGTGGCACAGGATTTATGCATCGTGCATTCATGGGTATGTATATAATGTTTGCTCATTTTTATTTTTTCGAATATAAAAAAAATACGAAAGCATATTTTTGGAATAAGAAGAAATGTGAATTTCCATTTGACATTTTTATAGCTTATGAAAAATATCGGGGCCCACTTGGAAACGTCAGGAAAGGAGTGTTGGTAAACATCACTTGTTACTCTTATAATTTTTTTTTTTTTTTTTTTTTTTTTTTTTAATTTATTAAAACTCGACATTATATCAGGTATCATGTGCACGTGGAACAGTGACATCTTATGCCTTGATGAGTTTGGAACCACGTGGAACGCTTTTTGTGAGTCCTGGAGTTGAGGTAATAAATAAACATATTCTTAAATTAATAATCTATATATGTATATATTAAAATAAATGATGATATTGTTTTTGTGTTGTGATAAATGATAATCAATAAGTAACGAATGAATATTGAATATGATGCAGGCATATGATGGGATGATTGTTGGTGAACATTCACGAGATACAGATCTTGATGTAATGTTTTTATGACATTTTTCAAATTACTTTTGAGTAATTTAATTAATTAATTATTATCTTTTTCACAGGTTAATCCTGTAAGAAACAAGGAACTTACAAATATAAGATCAGCCGGAAAAGACGAGAATGTTAAATTGTCACCTCCTCGTAGAGTACGTCTTTTAATCACTTTTAAAAAAAAAAAAAAAAAATCAGTTTAGGATTTGTGGATATAAAAAATGTATGTGGTTTTAATTTAATTAATTTATATGCAGATGACACTTGAAGAGGCTATAGGCTATGTGGCATCTGATGAGCTAATTGAGGTGAGTATACTGTATACATGATACGTGTATGAAATCTCAATTTATATTTTCTGAATTTTGAATTTGATGAATTGAAATGATACGTGTACCCTTTGAGCAGGTAACACCACATCATATCCGGTTAAGAAAGAGATACTTGGATTCTAACAAGCGTAAAACAATGAGTAAAAGGCCCAAGGAGTGAAAACAACTCATGCGATGCATTTTAATGGATAATTTTGTTATTTCAAATTTAATTATAGATCACGAGGAGGATTACTGTATAATCATTTTTGAAAAATAATTATAAGACAGCAGAGATAAAAGGTGGTTTTTCATGCGCACCTAAAAAGAAATGTTCTAGCTCAGATATCATATTTTTATAATTTGTACTTCATTTGTTATTTGTACTATAATGTATAATGTATGATTATAGTTTTGATCAATAATAAATAAATTATCTTATAATATATAGATATAGTTTTAAAATAATATATAAATATAAAAACG